TGGGTCAAATGATGGATCTTCAATTTCTTGAGGATCCGCTTATCCTTGATATTGTTCCTTTACATGTGATACTAATATTTCTACTAGTTTCACTTATATATTATCATGTTGAATTTTCAATCATGGTTCTCTTGTTTGTTCACTTAGAGATATATCTATCCCCTCTTGAACAATCAAGGGAACAATGGATGAAGCTTCTAGAGATTCTGAAAATTCTTGATCTGAGATAAATCTCATCAAGAATAACCTAACTTAAGAGCTTATAATTTCTCATCTAGTCCTCCTTTAAGAAAATCATGTGAGTGCTCACTTAGATTATCTTGTCCTTAAGACTAAATAAGAAATCATCCCTAGTTCTCTTAGGGTAGCCAAAAGATATGCACTCCTCCATACAAGATTCCATCTTATTTGACTGCTGTTGTAGGACGTGTGCCGTAGCACCCTAAATCCGAATATGGTTTGATCTGGGCTTGCACCCTTTCCATAGTTCTTTAGGTGTCTTTGCAACAAACTTTGACGGAATCACGTTAAGAAGGTACATTTCCTTCTCTTAGGCATCTCCCTTGAACAACATTGACAAAGATGAATAACTAAACATGATCTTCACCAAGTCTAGAAATGTTTGATTTTTGCATACTGCAACTTCATTCAACTAACGCGTTCTTAGAGTTGACAGTTACAAAAACTATCCCCTCTTAAATCAGGTAAGACCTGAACTTACCAGACAGGTAGCCAACACTTTAGTCAGACCAAAGTGTTTTTGATTTGAACACCTACATGCTTTTCTGCCTCATTGGAAATTTTCAAAAGCTTTAGACTTATAGCGCACTTGGTTCATCTGTCCAAATCCAGAGTAAACATTCATATAATGAAGTACTCATCACCTCTTCTGGTCTGAACGCTAAGTGGTCCACATACTTTAGTATGTACCAGTTCCAGTTGAATAGTTGCGCAAACCTTCTTGGCCCTTGTAGGATTGCTTGGCCACTTTACCTTCCAAATAGGACTAACACGTAGCTGTTAGTTAAAAGATTATTGAACTTTCAGTCCCTCTTTTAACTAAAACATGTTTCCTACTTGAGATAACATGACTCCATCACAAAGGCCAAAGTTATGTTTCATTTGAAACTTTTATTTCTTTGGTGAAATTTCTTGTTCATCATCCTTCCATTCAACATAACAAATTTAAAAAGGTTATAGGACATAGGTAATAAAGACTATTTAAACAATGTACCAGAACAAACAAGACGAAGATGAACTTCGAAATGTAACTGAGGAATCAATTGCATTGTCAACCCATGTTTTAACCAAAACAACTAACAAAAATTGAATTCCTCTTGAAATCTGGAACAAATAAACAGTCTCCCAAAACCATAGTCTTATAAATAACTTGTCCTACTGCAAATGCAGACAAAAGTTCTCATTTTCAAGCTTAAAATATCTTTGTCCACTACTGACAGGCATACCATGTTTGAACTACTGCTAAGAGTAACAAACATAATCAGTGATTCCTGAATCGATGATTCATTCACTGATCAGGCCTTAATATACCCATGTCTGGTTCTTTTCATCACCTCTGGGAAATTTTTCTTTCAGTGTCCCTTCAGTCTGCACTTGAAGAACTTGCCTTGCGGCTTCTTCATAGCAACTTGTTTGACAACTGATAACCAAGTTATTTTGTTCTTGTTACCACCCTTGGGTTTTCCCTTGGATTTAACAAGACTCTTAGCAAAACCTGCACCGACTGCATTCTGTCTAGCAGAGCTACTAGACGCAGCAAACATGTCATTAAGAGTCTGAAGCATTTTTACTCCACTCTTAATCATGTACACTTGCTTCTGCAAGTATTTGGAAAGACTGACAATAATATAGCAGCGAACTACCATATCTGCCCTTTCCCAATCTGAGAAATGCATCTTAGTTTCCTTAGACGCCTTCTCTGCAGGTTGCTATGGCCCTCGCATTGTCAGGACAAATTTTAGCTTCCATGTCTTAGAACAATATCAAAGATTTGCTTTTCACTTATTCATAGTTGGTACCATCTAGAGGTTTTCGACTCAAAATCATTTCTAAGATATTTTCTGAAAAACATATAAAACACACAATTACAAACAAATAATGCAATAAACAAACGAAGTGCGAGTAGATTCTCATAACTACTCTTGTTTATTGTTAACAATCCTTCAGTTTATCTTTACAAGGCTTACGATGGGCAAGTCACTTGTAAAAACCAAAATTGTTATTTGGGCCTTCAGTGCCATTGCCAGAGCCTCGATGGGAGGGTTAACAATTTTACCAAAGTTGAATGTAATTAACCATTGTTTAATTTCAAAATTATCCTTAGTGTCTAAGCATTGCCGACGATGGGCCGTACAATACTTTACTAAAATTTTGAAATTATTAAGATTTAATCTAGTGAAATCTGATTATCCTTATCCGATGGGGCTTCAGCGATAACCATTTCACTAATAAACCCACAAATGGAGCCCGCAGGTTTTAAAATTAATTAATTTTTAAAACCTTCACCCATTCAACATTTTTGTTTGAGAATTTTCATAAGCCCAGTCGAATTCATTGTTTAATTTCAAAATTATCTTTAATAACTTAGTATTATCGACGATGGGACGTACAATACTTTAAAATTTTGAAATTATTAAGGCCCAATAAAATCCAATCATGCTTATCCGTTGGGGCCTCACATGATTATTTTATTGATAGGCCCACAATGCGCCTGGAGGTTAAATTAATTTCTTAATTTAAATCTCCTCCCATAGATATTTAAGTCCAATCTAATAAAATCCAATCATGCTTATTCGATGGGACTTCACATGATTATTTTATTAATGGTCCTATAATGCGCTTGAAGGTTAAATTAATCTCTTAATTTAAATCTCCTTCCATTCAACATAAGCAACATTTTCTAATTTCCAAGAATTATTTAATTGAGAGTATCCTTTGTTTGATTTCAAAAACTATATAAGAAAGAGCGCCGATAAACGTGCACTAAGCTTAACATAATTTTGAAAGTATTAAGGTCCTGAAATCCGGTCACTTTACGTCAGCGTGTGCTCCAAACAATCATGATACATGAATGTTGTATGCAGCGTGTGTTATTCCATGACCATTTCAGAAAAACCCACAAATTACTCGCAAAATAAAAGAATTCTCTCAAGAAATTTTCTCTAATTATTTTTCTAGATTTAAATCATCCAAATAGCTGACTTAATTATTAATCTAGATTGCAACAATCATAATAATTATCATTTATGAGGATAATTTGAAATCAAAATAATTTCCATAACGATTATTTGTCTTGATGTTAATAATCCAAAATTAATTAATTCAATTATTAATCTAGATTTTTAATAAAAATCATAATAATTATTAATTAATTTCTTAGGATGATTTAAAATCAAAATAATCCTATAATAACTATCATACTAGTCGCTGAAGACATAATAGCTATTATGCTCATGCAATCATACAAGTTATGCAACAATATGGCACCACATATTCTATATGGCATGTTATCGCAATAAAGCATGTTATCTATCATATAATTTATACCAATCAATAAAAGCATTAAATAATAAATCATAATTACTTTAATCCATGGCCTTCCTATTTTAAAGAAAATAAAATAAAATAAAATAAAATAATACAACTTTTGAATTCGACTTTCGCCTAGCCCATAGTATCTGTCTCAAGCCCCTTTAGGGTTTCATGGGCCCAAAAGCCCAAAGACCCAATCCTTTGGCGAGAAACCCTAGGACGCGAAAGAGAAACCCTAGCCGTCAGGTCTGCCGCGCCGTCACCCGAAGTCAAATCAAGCTGAAACTCCAGGGGAAGGACCTCCACGTAGAGACGAGTGCACCGCCGCCGGAATCACCCAAAAAGGTGGCCGGACGCTCCTTCACTCTCCCATTCTTTGCCGGAGAGTGGCGGCCACTCTCATAATCTTGTGGAGGCGCGTGGAGGCGCGTGTAAACTCAGATGGCGGTAAGCCACCCACCGTTGCGTTCGTCTTTCCGTCCTCTTTCCAACCATATATAGATCGCCTTATTCCGAGATCGGGAAGACCTCGAAAAGTCTCCGACAGTACTGACTGCGCATCTTACTCGCGGTTTCTCGATCTTGAACTTTTACAAAATATTGGAAAAATACACAGAAATTCCAAAAATAAATAAAAACAGCAAGGAGGAAACCTAATAATATGGGATTAGCCTCCTTGTTACAAATCGAGAAATACACGAGAGACCCTAACCATGGATTAAAGCATTTTTACCGATTAAAATTTAAACTTTTATGAAAATGAATTATAAAATACACATGCTAGATTCATACCATAATCCTAGAACCCTAGGTGCCACATTTCAAGAAGCAAAACTAATTACATGAATAGTGAAACTAGATTCACATACCAATGTACAGCCAAGGCTCTGATACCAATTGAAGGAAATCTTAGATTTATGCGGAAGCGGTTTAGGACCTAGTACATTGGTATGCTTACCGAATCATCCTTGTTTCACAATTACCTCTCGGTGCGCAGGTGTCGTGTAGAATCTTCCCTTGTAGGATTCCTCTTCACGAACAGCTCACCTTAGCGTCGCAGCACGAACAACCTCCTTGAAGCTGGACTGTGGCAGATCTTCCAAACTATCTCTCGAGGAGGAAGGGGAAGTGTGTGGGCACTGATTAGATTCAGAGCTTGCCTCTTTCTCACAAAAAAGACCTTGGAGGCTGATGACTTAAGAGGTACTATTTATATGGGTTCCAAGAAACCCTAGCTCATTGGGCTCTAGGTTCCTTGGGCTCTTCTCATACTAATAACCCATTTGGGCTTTAGTAAAAGAGCAAACCCAACAATCACCTTATCTCTTTCATAGTTCACATAGCTGCTAGCTATTTTTGCTTTACATGATTACTGTTCTGTTTCAAAAGTTCATTAGCTAGCAGCTTCAAAATTTCCCACATATATATATATATAAACACTTAGATCAATGGCACTGCAATATTGTTCATCCTCAAGTTGGAGATGCAAGTTTTCCATATTTACAATAGGAGTTTCCTTGTGCCTCCTTGTGCTCTTGAATAATTCAAGTTATTCATCTGCTCGTTTATGGTTGAACAGAACCAAAAGAGTGAGAAACCTCTTTAAGAATGGACTTGGCCAGACACCCCCAATGGGGTAAGCCTCTTTTTTCTCTTCAAACTTTCATGTTTTCTCTCTTATAATTCGTTACCTTTATTCCCTCTTTTGCATTTTACATGCTCAAATGGTTGAAATACTTGTTGAATTGAGTGATGTGCTATTATTGCATCTGATATATAATTTCAAACAAAGTCTAATTGATGCAGTATATAGTGTGCTTATTTGAATCTTTTTTTCTTTTCTTTTCTTATAAGTAAAAATGACGCTAAACAAATTTTTATAAAAACATTTATAATAAAAAGAGTTTTTTTCTATAATAAAGAAAAAAGTCAAAAGTTCATGAGAGAAATTTTTTTTAAGTTATATCAGTTTTTTTTTTTTTCAAAATATGTGCTTTTTTTAAAATGAATAATTTTTAACTTTAAATATTTATATAATCTTCAAACAACCTGTAACTTTATTTTTAGAGCTTTTATTTTTTGTTATATTTTAAAAGTAGCTTTTAGTTTAAAAAAAAAATCAATCATAATCTCAAATGATCTCTAGTATAATTGGTAATCACCTTTTTTTCTTACACATATCTTCAATTCATATTGCTCTATGGTCTGCAATTGCAGACTCAATATTTTGGAGATGGTGGAGGAAATTGAGAAGGATCTCTAGAGGAATCAAACGGGTATCTGAAATGAGAGAAATAATTTTATAATTTATAAAAATTAATGCACATAAATAAATTATAGTGAATTATATATAATAGAATAATAAACAATAATAATGTGTCAAATCCTGTTGGATTTGTTTATTAATCCTCATAGATGGCACCATCAAGTCCAATTTGTTTAATTAAGAGCTATCTTGCACCCATATCGAATATGAGATATGATAAAATACGATATTTCGACACGTTAATTTTTAAAAAAAAATAGATTTTAACATCTTAGAACATGTTTTGATATTAAAAATATTTTTAGTTAATATAATGTATATTATATTTAATATTCAATAATTTAATAAAAAATTAAATTAAATTAATTATATTTTTAAATTAAAAATCTTTTATATACTCCAATAAATTTTTTCGATATCCATTTTTTAATTTTTATTATATCAAAGAATACCCGACACAATACTTTTTTATGATATATAATAAAATTTCAAACCAAAGTATGTCATAGTATCAGGATATCAAAGAATACCCGACACTATACTTTAGTTTTTTTGAAATAATGTGGTGCAACATAACTTCTGAGTGGCACAAGATGAGGTGAGAAATTTCATGGTAGGTTCATGGTGGTGGCATTTGTCTTGTAATTGATTAAGCGGCAATTATTATTCTTATTTTCTGGATTTTTCGTTACTTTATGATCCAGAACCATCTAATAATTTAGTGCTCTCTCTCACAACATCAATTTTTTTTATTTTTTTTTATACTCTTGCTATTTTTTCTCTTTCTCAATTTTATTCTCTCATTCACATTAAAAGACCACCTAAAAAATAGTGATCCCAAATCATAATAAATTCTCTCCCCCTCGAGGACTTTAATGCAACAATTGACCCTAAATATTGGGTGCATGCTAGCTAGTAGCTATTGTTTAATATTATTTTACCTAATTACCACTTATAGGCAATAAAACAATCATTGGTTGGTTCTTGTTCCATCATTATTTATTGCATTCGGCCGATCAATAACTTATATGTATATTAATTAACGTTACTGCTAATGCACGAACATTGCAACTTATGGGAGCAACTGCTATGCATTAATAGCTCAGAATTGAGTTTTCAAGTGACCTTTCAACCGCTTCTTATGATTGGGATAGGCTTTACTAAATATATTTTCTATACAACGGTATCTTCACATGTTTAGGCTGAATTTTTATAAAGGTATCGTTTAATTTTTAGATAAAAGTAATTTAAAGTCAATGACAAAAACTCTACGCCACCACAAAAAGATTAATCTCATCCATATATTAATATAGAAAGTATTGAAACTAATATAAAAATATTTTTGGTTTTAACTTGTGATGGAAGCCCAAACTTGCTACCTATTAAAATTTGTCTTTATAAATAGCTAGTATTGAAATAAACATTTGAATTGTAAGTCTTTTTTTTCAACATTAAAATTTCATTTAAAACTAATATCCTTTTTTTTTAAAAAAGTCTATAATTTCATTTAGTTATGAATTTCTTGCAAATATATATATGAAAGTTAATCTTTAGTGATGAATTATTAATGATAAAAATCAGGTGGAATAGCTGGAATCATTTTGGCTGTCATATTAACGAAGACTTGATTAAAGAAACAGGTAGCTTATCTATAACTCTATGAATTCGGAATTCATCAAGTTTTTCATATATAGAATTGGAGAGATATTTTAGTTAATATATGTTTGTCTTATATGACTTCATTGTTACAGCTGATGCTATGGTGTCAACGGGCCTTGCTGCTCTAGGTTATCAATATATTAATATAGGTAGGACAACATTTTGTTTTATGATTATGTTATAAAAAGTGATGTTAAAATTATTGAGAGGAGATAATCCATGTTTGAGAAATCATTTTGACAATATTTATATTTCCATGAAATACACATCAGAAATTGAAACATACAATAATACAAAGTTAAAGCGTACCACACGGAAATATATGAATGTAACAAGAGAAAATTCGAGTTCAGTGTAAGACAATGTGTCTTTAAAACAACTTTGCCCTCTCTAAGGTACTTAAGATTCGTGGACAATTATCTCCCAGAATAGAAGTAATTTGTTCTATCTTGGAGATAATTGTTCATGAATCTTGGGCACTATAGAGAAGGCAAAATTGTCTCCCCTCTCAATAATTTTAACATAATTTGAATAACAGATTATTATTAAAAAATAATGCATATTTATTTACAATGAAACATAGTAATATATTACTTTTCTATAAATTTTTAGATGATTGCTGGGGGGAACTTAACCGAGACTCACAGGTAATAATATTATTTTATGTTATTGAATGTAATAAAATTTTTTATGCAAGTGGTGTTGATTTATTTAGTTAACTTTTTACTGATAATAATAGCACAACTGAATTCAAATCTAAAGAATCTCTTGTTTGTACATAATCATACTATAAATTTTCACTAGAGTTGTTAGTTTCCCAACCTTAAAATAAAAAGAATATTCCTTTAATTTATCCTTAATTTTTTTATTAAAAGTTTCTTTATAGATCTTTACCTTTTCTCTCTTAAGTAGTCGGGAATTTTATTTTATTTGTTGAGTAGTAAAATAGTATTTAAATTAGGTTAAATTAATTCATACATCCTGGCATTTTTTTTCTTCTATTTATATTTGTTTCTTTATTTGATTATAAGAAAAGCCTTAAAGAGTCCAATAGTGTTTAAATTGACATAGTAGCATGGTTCTTGTTTACAATTTGAAGATTATAATATCCAGTTTCCATGATAATTACATTTGTCAAATTTAAAATGGTGTCAGGGCTATTTGGTTGCAAAAGCTTCAACATTTCCTTCAGGAATTAAGGCTCTAGCTGATTATGTTCATAGCAAAGGTTTAAAGTTGGGGATCTATTCTGATGCTGGGTATCACATCTTAAAACTTTAACTTTGATCTTTAGTACGTATGTCCTTGATTATTCAACCATTTTTTTTATCTCTAACAATTAATTTCTCTGCAGAAATCAAACATGTACCAAAACTATGCCTGGATCATTAGGACATGAAGACCAAGATGCAAAAACATTTGCTTCCTGGGTAATATACATTCATTTTAAAGTCATTTTGCATTTAAATCAACTTATATCCTATGTGATGTGTAAATGATATAAGTTTTTTTGTTTTCAAAAATACTTATATCATATGTGATTTTAATTTACATATATTTTCAATGTTACTTTAGGGAGTTGATTACTTGAAGTATGATAATTGTAACAACAATAATATAAGCCCCAAAGAAAGGTATTTATGGCCTTCAGATGCATACAAATAAACTACATGCTTATACAATCCAGGAATTCATAAGTTTTGTAACACAGGTACCCACCAATGAGTGAAGCTTTATTAAACTCTGGAAGACCAATCTTCTTTTCTTTGTGTGAATGGTGAGTTGAATTTGTGGTCATGTTTCTCATACATAAAGAAATATATCTATGAACTTCACTAATTCTATATATTAGGAATGTTATGTTGCTAGAATAAAGTATAATTAGCATTTCAGTGACTCTATTCCTCTAAGATGCCAGATATTTCACTTTTTATTTTTATTTTTTATGATTAATTCTTTCTTTCACACAGGGGATCGGAAGACCCAGCTACTTGGGCCAAAAGTGTGGGAAATAGTTGGAGAACAACAGGAGATATAAAAGATAACTGGAATAGGTTAGCATGAATGATATAATATATATACATTTATTTATTTTCTATGTTAAAACAACATGAATCTAATTATTTGAGGAATTTCATTATCTTGCACTAAATTTAGAACCTGGTCAATTTTTGCATCACATTGATGCTTTTTGAACACTTGACAAAGTCATTTTTTGGAGAGGTTTATTTTGAATCATGATTACAAAATAGAGTCATAAAGAGTATTACTTTTAAGGAATTCATTTTCTTATGCTTCCAATATTCTGTTTCATTTCTTCATTTTCCTAATGGGAAATTTATGATAATTTTCTCCACAGTATGATATCTCGTGCAAATAAAAATGATAAATGGGCTTCTTATGCTGGACCTGGTGGATGGAATGGTAATCATCCTCACCATGTACTAGTTCTCTTGGACATATATAGTTATCATGATATCATTCTGACATTACTCAATACTTAAAATAACTAATTCTTTCTCCGAAATAAATGAACAAATAATTATGTCCATGCATAATTTCTTTTTATTATATCATAATGAAGAAATCAGAGCTCAAGTTCTCAGTTTTTGGTGTACAGATCCTGATATGCTGGAAGTTGGAAATGGAGGCATGACAACAGAAGAATATCGTGCCCATTTCAGCATATGGGCATTAGCTAAGGTAACTTCAAACAAATATTTTTAATACTTGCTATATAGATTATAGACAATGCCATATATCATAATAATGTCTTTGAAGGAAAATGTATTTGGTATATTAACTACTTTTGTTTTGTATATATATAATATAGGCTCCTTTATTGATTGGTTGTGACATTCGAACACTTGATGCCACCACAAAGGAACTGCTAAGCAATTCAGAAGTTATAGCAGTAAACCAAGGCATTAACAGAATAAAAAACCCTCTTATCTTTCTTTAAAAGAATATGCTTTTAAAACTACTAACCTTGTGGTATTGCAGACAAACTAGGAGTTCAAGGAAAGAAGGTGAAAAGTAATAATGATTTGGAGGTAATTTCCTTTCCACTTATTTTGTTTTCTTGTGTTAGTGTCTCTTTTTCAGTAAAACTGGTGATAAGGTTCTCAGCATCTTCTCTTATAATGCTACTTCATGTTTTCATATAACTACAAAACTATGATCCTGGCACCAACCTTACCTAGTTTTCAAGTGCAATTGTCTTGTCTTATCATGACAAAGTTGTTAGTTTTAGAAGCCAAAAGTTATTGGGGGGATTAGATTCCACTAATTGAGGAATCAATTACTTTAATGGAAAATTGATTGAATCTGTTATTAATGGAAATAACAGTAACTTGAATGACTCCATTATTGTTAATAACGGTAGATTTATTCACTCTGTTATTAACAGAAATAACAGGAAATTGATTAGCTAGAGTAATATCGTAAGCCAAAAGTTAATGGGTATTAGATTCTATTAATTGGGAAATCATTTACTTTAATGACAAATTGATTGACTCTGTTATTAATGGAAATAACGGTAAATTGAATGACTCCATTATTGTTAGTAACGATAAATTGATTCGCTCTGTTATTAACGGAAACAACGAGAAATTGATAGTTTCCTCATGATACTGATGTGTTTAAGTGAGTGAGCTCTTTGTGAGAAAGAAATGAGAAAATAGATTGTACGAATGAGAATAATGTGGGTATATAATAATGAGAGTGCGTATATGAGTTCTTGGGTTTAGGAAAAATTCTCATGTACTCTGAAATTTCTCATAGTATATTTGATATCTTTTAAAATTTCTCATAGTAGATGTAATATTTTTAGGAAAAGGTAATATTTATAAAAAAAAAAAATTTACAAACTCTTACCAACTATATTATCTTCTTTCGGGAGAACACTAATTTCATTATGTTCTCCTAGAAGAAGATAGTGTAATTTGTAAAAATTTATCAAAAAAATTTATAAAAGGATCATTTCTCTATCTTTAAGCCCAATTTTAAATGAACCACATTAAATCTCATCTTTCCAATTATTATAATTTTGTAATAATATCACTATTTGTGCACAATACTCAAGGTATCCCGAAAATTCCCATAAAAAGTAATATACTAAATACTAACGAATGTTCCCTTGAAGCTAAAACAATTAGGGTTAAATTTCTTGAAAAAAATTTCTTAAAAGAAAGCAAATTCTGCAGGTTTGGGCAGGTCCTCTCAGTGACAACAAACTAGCAGTGATTTTATGGAATAGAAGTTCATCCAAAGCAACGGTAACTGCATCCTGGTCTGACATAGGCCTTGAAACAGGAACTTTGGTTGATGCAAGAGATTTATGGGAGGTGAGATACATAGGGCTTGTTTGAAATCAGTTTTCAAAAATAATTTTTTTGATTTTCAAAAGAAGAAAAAAAAAAATAGTTTGGTTAGGTCTATTTTGTAAAAAAAAAAAAAAAAAACTGTTTTTTTGTTTTTAAAATTAAATTTAGAGAGTATGTCTGAGTTGTTTTTGTTTTTAACTTTAAAAAAAAAATAGAAAATAATTGTTTTCATAATTATTCTACAAAACAGTTATAAGCACAAAAAAATTACAACACAATCAGCCACTTATTTTGTTCTTTCAATGCATTGTTTAAAGAGCATTTAAGATACCTATAGTTTTGACTATTTGTATTGAACTTTGCAGCATTCAACACAATCACCAGTTTCAGGAGAAATCTCTGTTGAATTAGATTCACATGCTTGTAAGATGTATGTCTTGTCTCCCATCTAAGTTGTTAATTTCTTGAGGCAGAAAAGGAGGTAAACAATTGGCAACAATTCAATGTCCCAAAGAATGAAAGAGAAATATCAAAAGAAAATTTATTTGTCAGCAGGAAATATAGAAACAAATGAATAAGTTATATTTCTCCCGAGGTTTCCATTTTAATGCAATAAAGCCTCTCAAATCACTATATATATAGTTGACATTTTTATATGTTCCTCTAGTGATTCTTATTCACTTTGACTTACATAATTTTAGCGAGCATATTTTGCATTTGGCTTGAAGATAATAGGATCTCAAGTTTTCTTGTCACTTCCCTTTAAATTTAATTATGTATTATGAGTCATATATAATTATAATATTAATTTTTTTTTCTCATCATTATCAGCTGACATTACATTGAGTGAGAGAAAAATTTAATATTATAACTTTGTACTCCTGGACTCGGAATACCTAGTTATAAAAGGTGGCACGAGAAATTCTTTTTTACATTAAAGTCATATTTATGGAGAATGATCCGTTTACAATTTTTTTTACAAATTATATTAAGTATGACCGGTCATACACTAGTGTAGTTTGTAAATAAAAAATTTATAAATATATCCTTCCCCTATATGTGTGTGTGTGACTTTAATGTTTCTAAAGTGAAGGTAAATAAGCTATCTACAATCACTACCAATATCACTTTAATGTTTCTAAAGTAAATGTAGATAAGTTATCTACAATTACTTCCAAAACGACGTCGTTTGGGGTTAACAACATTAAAAAATTATAATAAGAAAGACTATTATAACCATGAAATAAATTATAATTACAAAAATACTTGATTTTTGCCCCAAAACAATGTCGTTTTGGGCTCAATATAGATAATTTGTCTACAATTGACTGCAGAAAAAATAAACCCTATATATAAAAGGAAATTATACTCCCATGTTGTGGGAATTTTTTTTTCTCTCCTGCACACTAATTGATTTTTGTGCCTACCCTTTTTTTTAAAACATGGACCCCATCATAAATTTGTCTTAGTAAAAAAGGCAACTTTTCTCCTGCAACATGTAAATATATAGGGTAATCATTATGGTGGGTCCGACTTTATTAAAAAAAAAAAAAATACTGCGCATGTCTCGATAGGTCAGCGGGAAGAAGACTTCTACTGTTGTTGCAGGAGAACTATATTTCCAATATATATATATGAGAAAAATATTTCTCAAGCTGCCTCAGATATATTTATCTTCGATTATCGCAAAACTATGTCGTTTTGTTTATTTATTTCCTTATATTAATTAATTCACCTTTGAATTGTTATGATTCTCATCTTCTTTCATCTTTTCTGATCTAATAGCTTTCAGATAAGGTGTCAAGCTTTAAATTTGACACCAGTATCAAAAGATCTTACCCCTCACATATATATATATATATATATATTCAACTATTCATCAATTAATCAACTAATAACTCAGACCAATGATTAAATTGCAAATGTGATAGCTTTTTATATATCATCATGGTAACTCACAATAGTGTAGATCAAATTTGAATACCCAATGGGTGTAGCTCTTTTAACGGTGACTAAGCCCTAATTTAGGATCTTATTTTCGATTCAAAGAGTTAAAGCTTATAAGAATATTGAGAGCCGACTCGCCTTGGAAAGATAATTAAGATTGGTATTAAAAAAATTTAAGTAGATAATTTTTTTAAAAACTTTGTTTACCAAATTACCTAACTTGATTATGAGCATTGGAACCAAATGGTAGTTAAAATTAGAATTTTACCTACAATCGGAAGAAGGATAAAAAATCGTAAAACATAAAATTCTAACGTAAACAAAATCGTAAAAGCGTTTGTAATTTTAATGAAATCGTTTTGATTAAAAAAAATTGTAAAAGCGCAGATTTAAATTGAGATTTTAATTACTATGAAATCAACTTCCGAATTTTTTTATTTTAAAAAAATTAAAATTAAATTTTAATTTAAAATTAAAATTTCATGCTTCCTTGGAAGCACTAGAAAAACAATGACAACACCAAACAACAGAGACAAAGGTTGCGTCCTTCGTCCCTTCCCAATTTCCAAAGTTCCCTTCTTTAAAGCACGAACACGCTCTTTGTTTCAAAATGTGCGTGTCAGACACGTGTTGGATACGTGTCTGACACGCGGTCAATATTTTAAGACATGCGGTCAACACAAGTTTTTTATTTTATTTTATTAACTAAACATAAAAAAAATAATTTATAAATCAATTTTTTTGTTACGAAATTTACATGAAAAATTAACAACGCATAAAAAATTATTTTTTTTTATATTTATGTTATGAAATTTGAATATTTGATTAGTTATATGACTTATTATGAGCTGTTATATGTATTAAATATAAATTATATTATATATATTAAAAATATTTTTTAATATCAAAACGTGTCCCAATATATGTATTAAATATAATATTTTTTAAAATTTGTGTATCATCATGTCATGTCGCGTCTCCGGTGTCGGTACCGGTGCATCATGGTTCCCTTTACCTATGGAACTTGATGATTCGAGACTCTACCAATGATGGGTTCTTCACAGAAACGTTAAAAGATACTCTCTGGTGTTCATGGCAACAGCTTCATCTCCCTCTGCTACTTAAGTCATGTGCCAACCTTGCTTCCATTCCACATGGCACATTGCTTCATGGGCATGTTCTGAGACTTGGTTCCAAGGTGACACATTTGTTCAAACTGGTCTTGTTGATATGTACTCAAAATGCTCCCAAGTTAAAGTTTCACATGATCAAACAAAAAATATAGTAGTAAATGCAAAAAGGGAACTTTATGAAGAGTTTAGTAGTACAAGAAAAAACCATAGCACAGAGAGATGAGTCGAAGCGGTGGAGACTTCAAAGGAAGAAGATGACAATCTCCGCAGAAGTACAAAGCGTAACAAGGAAGGGGATGCTATGTTTTCTAACATAACCACTCCAACACCTAGAGTGGAACCATGGATGAGCACAGATTCGGATAACCAAGGACGAACATGGAGACAGATATTGATGCAGCACAGTGGAGAGCAAGAAGATGATATCGAATGGGAAGTGCAGCTCGATAAGATCCAAGGGACAGAGTACAGCGAAGGAGATCATAGAGGAGGATGGCGTTTCAAACTTCATATGTACAAAGTCTGCATAACACAGAATGCGTAGCAACTGGACTCAGGCATTGATGGTCAAGCTGTTGGGGGAAAAAAGTAGGGGGTCCTTCATGAAGAAAAAGTAGGGGCATTGATATGTATTAATGGCTAATTTGTTAGAAATTTTATATGCGGTAATATTAATTAATGTTTTTGTATTTTTTAAAATAATCGGATTAATAGATATTCTAATTTAATCTATTGTGATAAGTCCATTGTGATCATGTTCAGTTAGGCTTTTGGCATCTTTTGGTATTGGACCTAGTTGGACAACACAGTGTAAGCATTAATGTTTGATTAGGCTTCTGTGATGGGTGGACTCATCATCAGACACATTGTTGATTAGGGTTTTGCTAGATCCTCTCTCTAGCCTATTTATATGAGGGTTAAGTCCCATGAACCGTCTTGCTCCCATCACAGAAGGCTGATATTTGATTCTAACCGTGTAATCAAGGTTTTTTACTCAGTAAATAAGATAGCTCAATCAAGTACACAAATTCCTCTCAGAATGAAATTGATATATGGTGCTTTATCTACCATGCATGTTTCGATCTTTGTGTTGAATTATATATGAAAATTCTTACATAATTTGTATACCTCTTTGGGCAAGGGAAAGGAGGCACAAATGATGAGAAATTTGATAGATGGTAAAGGATTGGTTAAAGAATGTGGCTGGAGCCAGGTTGAGGTAAGCGGAGGATTTCATACATTTGCCACAGGAAATCAGTCACGCGTTGGGTTAGTCAATATCCACAAGACATTAGAAGATCTAAATTTTACTCTTCAAGAAGGTAGCTATACAGCAGAAGCACTAACAGTGAATAACTAACTGTAAAAGAAAACAGATTGTTGAAGCAGGTCATGTCAGTAGTACTTGGAGGCTCCAGCATTATAAGAACATGCAAAGTGATTATAACCCTGCTATGGAATTCATCTCCTTGACTTTTGACTGGATTTTATAATGCAAGATTAGTATGCGTTTGCATTTTGAATCTGATTCTTGTCCAAGTAAGGACTGTAGGTGAAGTTGTGATTTCCTTCTCACCTTTCCTATCGTGCTTCTCTGATTAAGCATTATTTCTGAGAAGTTAGTTGGGAAGCAGGACCTGCAATACTGGCCTGCTTACAAGTGATAATACCAACTATAAAAAGCAGATATAATCAAGACAAAGTAGAAATGGAATATCACTTCGTAGTTTAGACTATTACTACAATCAGCTTGAAAGTTCAAGTTAGTCGCATGCAGTTGACCAATTAACAAAGGCATTATAAAAACTCAAGTATACAAAAGAATAAAAAAGAAATACTCCTCAAATGAGAGTGACTATGAATCTACATAGTATTTGTCTGTCACTAGATTATTTGGTATTCAAACATTAAAAGAATCTTCTATCATTCCCTGTTGCTATCGCAAATATACGAGAGGACCAAATCAAAGTATTTTGGAACTCCCCTTGCATTAAAAATATTTGTAACATATATATCTAGTTCCATATGATCTTCTAAGCCCCTAGAAAATATACAATTCATCAGTGAAACAATAACCGATGCCCCACATTCTTATTTATGAATGGCACTAATCTCTGACATGATCAAAAATCAGTAACAAATATATAAGAATTTTCTCATGGTCCTCTCATCTTCTCGACAATGTGACGCTTTTTTTCTTCAAATTTCTCGCTCATCTTCTTTCGCAAATCAAGCATCCTTTCCCTTTTTCCAACTTTCCTTGGCCTTGAATCAATATCTTCAGTTGAACTACATTGCTTATCCATCACCGCACTTCTGGAAGATGATTCCCACACGGAAATATCCTCTATCTTCTCTTCACTAGCTTCATGTGTATTCTCATTCTGTAATGAAGGTGATGTAAGTTCTTTCAAATATCTAGTTTCTTGTGGTGTTTCATTCTCTAACAAAGGTATTGTCAGTTCTTGCAAACTTTTACTGCCCCTTAATATTATTGAAGTAGAGGAACTTGATGAAAGTGCCAGAGAATCTGATTTCCTAGCTGGTTCTTCCCTAGATTCAGTCCTCTCTGGCTTTTGTTGTTTGAGTTCTGAACTATCACATGATGTCCTTATTGCACTAGCTTTCACACCACCAGAAGGTTCATTATTGGTATCAATTGAAGTTGAAGTCTCATTCCCAGAATCTTGGTTGATCCATATAAATGGAGCAACATTCCGAGGAACCCAATCATCCTTTTCGGCTAGCATCCATGGAATGCATATGTTTTCACAATTTGGGAGCACTAAAGTGTCCCGAATTGCTGCCTGCAGGAGAGAAATTAAATTAAGTTTGCAAGTGGGAGATGCTCTAATCCTTTCTAAAAGATATACAAAGTTTAAGAGTTGAAGCACATTTCTGTGTGCGATAAGAGTATGTTGTAACAAAAGAAGTTAAGGACTACAATAGATACAACAGATAATAGAAGAACTGACTGTGATATTTTTGAGAGATTGAACCATAGAGGTAGGTTTCCACTCAAAGAAATGGATTAACCATTCCCAAAATAGTGTAGGTTACGTAGAATCATTTATTCACTAAAACTTAAGGAGAGAGTTATTTGTTGGAAAACAGAGAGATGGAGAACCAAGTGTATCAAGAGAGAGGAACAATTTTGAGTGGTGATCAGGAACATCCTTTCATAACTTAACCAATTGAAAAGGGAGCATACCTTGAGTCGGTTGATCAGGAACAAAGCAATGTGCGAACTAGTTATCTTGTGTTCTCCAACAGATGATTCCAAGTTCAAGTCAATATCGGGCATAAATGTGAAGCCATACCACAATTGATCAGAGGGAGGCGGCTTTATTTGCAAACGTAATGTCCCTCTGAGGGATGCTACCCTTATTGCCAAAGAGAGGGGAACCTTTTCATAATAAATCCGTTACTTTGAGAATAACACAGCTTTAGCTATTCATAACTTCATGACTAGATAAAATAGTAAAACATCTGCACATTGTCAAATACTTTTAAATATTTCTCCATGTGCATCGATCGACATGAAAATGCACAAAAACTGATTTGCATTATGCCATTATGCACCCTTCAATAGCTTATTGTTAAAGATGTAACATAAAAAACCATTCATATGTTTTTTATCTAAAAGTTAAGTTTTGAAGAGAGGTGGTTCTTGACATAGTATTAAAACTTCTATGACCAAGTGATTTATTTAGAATTCAATCCTTGTCACTCCCATTCTTTTAAAAAAAAAAAAAATTCAATTTTAGCACAAGATACGCAGGGCTATGCATTGTCCTTTAAGCCCAAAAGGCTCTTATATAAAGGGCTGTGTTAGATATATAATATAAAAAATTATTATTATGTCTTCACCAAAAAGCTTAAGCTTTGGAGAGAGTTAATTCTTGATATCAGCTTAATATATGTCAAAAAAGTCTTAAAATCCAAAGGCTCTTAATTCTTGATATCAGCTTAATTCTTTGGTTAATTCTTTATATTTATGTTCGAATCTCCCTAGTACCACCTTTGGGAGGGGTTTAAAATCTTAATCTGGATCCGCCCCGAATCGGATTAGTTGCGAAGCAATGAACCGATTGAAATATTTCCAAACAAAAAAAAAAAACCAAAGGGAAGTTATGCAAGTATGGATGTGCTAGAAGAGAATGAAGTAAAGATAAAATACTGAATCGGATTCCTAACACTTCAAGCAGATTAATTAGCCTAGTATGAACATATTCAGAAATGTCGACATATAATATACTATTTAAAAGCACAAGTCATGTTTACTAAAACCAAATTTATTGTAGCAAGCAGAAGTCATATTTTAAAGGAAGTTGTGAATCCCATCATCACTATTCACTGGCCATCTAAACATCAACAACCTCATGCTGGCAGTCAAGTGCCCCAGATGAATTTACACTCATGAGGTACAGCAGATTTTGGAATGGCATGTGCGGGGAGGGGGGATTGCCTAACCCAGACCCACACGCTCCTCCTCCTTAAAATAACACCTAATCCACCCCTAACCTCCCCCAACATTTTGGATATGAAAACCTAACCTTGGAAGATATTAGATCCCACATCCTATCCGTCACAACCCACATTTATGAATATTTTAAATATAAATTTTGTACAATCACAATATTAAAATTAACTCATCATAAATTAAAACATACGTTCAGGATAAGTGTTAAATTAGTTACGATTTGCAAAGACAATTCTATTTAATACGAATAAACATGCAAAATCAATATAATATAAACTGTAAAACAAATCTAATAAAATCTATCCATTTCTAGCATGAGACAAGTATTCTCTTCATCCTTTTTTTTTCTGATTATTGTCTTCATATATCAATATATATAATATAATAATGGGAACAGATCCACTTACCACCAAAAAAGTTTACCACTATTACAATCAATTTAATCACCGTTGATTTCCGTCAATCTAACGGTTATAATCTATTGAAAATTAATAGCATTTATTGTGTCATATTTATTAATTAATTATTAATTTTCAATTAATTATAACAGTTAGATTGACGAAAATCAACGGTGATTAAATTGGTTGTTAGAGTGGTAAACTTTTTTGGTGGTAAATATATCCTGCATTCCTGCCCCATATATAATTGCTCTATTACTAGTTGAGTTAGACATAATATTTATGTTGAGGAGAGGCGTGGAGTGGGGTGGGCCAAATTGACTCCCAACCCACACTTACTCTGGAGAGTGGAACAGGTTGTGTACATGTGGGTTGGGGTGGGATTCCCAAGCCTAGATTTACATACCCCCAACCTATTTTTGTACATTAATAGTGTGGGGACAAATGTACACGAACACATCCTTATAGTTTGATATTATACAAATATCTCCTTTGAGATTATTTTTTCATTGGGTGTTTGTGCATGGAAAAAATTTACACAGGATATTATGTATACAAAAAAAATTTAAAAACAGGAGGTATTTGTCTGACAAAGAATTATAATTGGGAAGTCTAACATAAAAAGGGATCTGTTCATAGCTTTGGAAACATTAGGAGGAGGTTAGTGTAAGTTACCCAAGAAATGAAGTTATTTCCCACAAACAGATTAGAACCAAACAAAAAGATTGTGCACTGATATATATGATAACACAAATTAAACAAGAACTAAGCTAGCTAACATTATATTACGACTATGATGGGCCTGAAATAATTAGTTAGTTAGTTAGTTAAGGAATTGCTTCTAGAATATTCTTAGGGGATAGGATAAAAGGAGAGTGAGTGTGTGTAGTAAGGTATGCATGTATTCAGTATTGGTTTAGAGGGGAAATTGGGAGACCTCTAGGGAACTCTTGAGCCTAGGTATGTTGGCTTTGAGGGGGAGTTGAGGTTTTCTGGATTTATTTTCTGTCATATATGTTATAAGGAGCTTGTCTCCATTTATGTTTTCTTCAATTACTTCCATCAGACTGCAAGTAAATCATACATTCTATTTAACCCTGGAAAGAGACAGCAAAGCGTGGAGAAACAACTTTCGTACAAGTGCGACTAAAGAATGGCTGGCAAAAGTGCAGCGGGAAAAAATCAACCAACGGAAAAAGGAGGGAATAATAAAGAGATGCTACCTGTGAAACCTGCTTGGCAACAGAATGTAACATAGACTTCCATCTTGATCCATGAGTTGAGGAAGATGTACTGCTCTTAATGCTCTTAGACATATCTGCAAAGGGCAAACTGACGTTGTCAATCTGAATACTTTATATAACAACATCTAGACCACTTATACTCCCCCCTCCCCCATGCACGGGTGACAAACACATTGGACATCATATGAAGTAACCAAACAAGTTCAAGTGGACATTCTCCTTTAGTTATCAAGTAAGATCTGTAGTCCAGGAACAGCCAAAAGAGGTTTCATTATAAGATATGTTTGCATCTTTCAAAGATCAACTCTTCTAAAAGCTAAGCTGTTAGACTCAGACCCATGAACGGTTATATTATTCAAATATGCCGAGCTCTTTGGACATGAAGTGTGAATAATGCACCAATCCACCAACCCACTTTATCTTGTGTTGATATTAAATTTAAGAGTAAAGCCCATTTTGGGTCTCTAACAAAAAACACGGTCCCCACTTTAGTCACTTACACACAAAAATTAGTCCCAAGGTCCCTAAGAAATTCAAAGTGGACCCATTTAGTTGAAATCGTGGTCCCTCACAAATTCAAAAAAGACCCACGTTAGTCCCTCAAAAGGACTAAAATCCACTTTGAATTTCATAGGGACCAGGCGACTAATTTTTTCTTTGTAAGGGACTAAAGTGAGGACCGTGTTTTTTGTTAGGGACCCAAAAGGGGCTTTACTCTAAATTTAATATGAATAATGGGAGAGGAAAGGTTCATTGAGGCTTGAATACCATGTCAAAGATCAACTATTCTAAAAGCTTAAGCTGCTAGATGGAGGCCTACAAATGGTTTTATACCTCAAACAGAAACTACCACTATGTTCTTTATTAACTCCATTTTCATGGGAAAAAAATCCAGTACAAAGTTGACAAACCACTACACAGAGAAAATGCATAAATAGCTGGATTTGATAGGACCTGTGTACTAACCTGTGTTCAGGTTCCCATCTTCTTTTGAATCTCGTAAATCATTGATCCCTTCTGCCAGATTCAATTGCTTGTCAAAGTACTCTAAACCTTCAAGAAGATCTGATGGGACAGCCCCAACATTGCTTGACTCTGGATTTGAGCCCTCTGTCCCCCTATGGAGCTCTAGTTCACGAACTTCAAGCCTAGTTTCAATCTCTAATAATGCACTTCCAGAATATTCAATGTCAACCTCTAAGGCACATACCTCATTCATTTCCATTGGAAGAACCCTCATTCCAATGATACAGGGTGGAACATTCCCCATGTTGATGTCTGTGCAGATGACTGCACCAACATAACTGGGAGTTCTCATATTGGACAATGTCCTCTGTAAAAATAAAAATAAAAAAGAGTGAGAAAATACCAACAATTATCACATGGAAACCATAATAAAATGAAGTTGTGTGGGGTGTTATCTGTAAATAAATAGAAAATATCAACATTTATCTCATAACAACCATAAAGGAATGGAGTTTGCTGCATGAAAAAGGGGCAGGACAACAGGGAAATTGTACAGACTAAAAATAATAATGTCCCCTCGCATTCATACAAATATATGAATTTACCTTTCTGGAGCTCTTTTCATCCATTCATCACATTAAAAACACTTTTAAAATGGCACAGCTGCCCCTTTATCTGGTTGATCTAGTGAGATACGCTGGGTCTCCCACATTGGTTAAAGTAACAAATTAAATCTTTAGATGTATTTAAAAAGTATAGCACTTGTATATTCTTAATATGTTAAGCTTAATAAATATAATTCAGCATGCACCTATCAACTTGAATTTTTGGAACAACTGGCATTGGAAAAGGTTGATAGAAATATATAATATCCAGTTCAAATAAACTAGTATTATCATTTATCAACTTATCAAACTAATATAGACTAAGTACTAGCAATTGGGTGTTAGCCAAAATAATTCCCATCTCCCAAGGTATACATAAGTAAACAAACTAAAAATCAAATGCATACATTCATATGGGAAAATCTTAAACCTGAATCCTTTCTTGCACGGATCTCTTCACATGTGCATTGCCTTTGACATCAAAAAAGAGCCGGGAAATCAACAAATTCCAACATAATGTTCCCTCATCAATACCCAACTTTTCTTCAGCATCCGTTTCAGAACTGACTGAGATATGACTCTGGCTTCTTGAATGAGATATGGTTGAAGATAGTGATGGAGTATTGTCTAACATGGAGATTTTCAGATGATTTGTTGTTGAAGCAGTTTTCATCAAGCCAGAGGCAAGAACTGCATCTTGACAAGCACGAAGCTTCTCAGTTTTCCTTCTTTCTTCACGTCCTGACAACGAAGTCCAAGCTGATTTGTTATCCACACCAACTCTGGAAGATCTTTTTGAAAGTTTTTTCAGAAATTGACGAACCTTTGAGGAAGAGCCATCAGGCTTACTAGCCCTTTCTATTGCCTCAACACTAGATCCTACTGATGGTTTCATAAGAGTATGATATTCAGTATTTAATGATGTAAGATAACTATAAAACTCTTCTTGCAACTGGGAAAACCATTCGAGTTTTTCATTTTGATCACATGACGCCAGACGAAGGGCCTTACACCATGCTTCTTTCTCACATGAAGTCTCAAGATACATGTAAAGAGCTTTGCTTCCATGGTAGATCACAGAGGTCTTGGTTTCTAATTTAATGGGGAACTTTTTTGCCCTGTAAGATTCATTACAATCAGATAAGAACTTGAAGCACCTAATTCCCTCGGCAAATAAGCAAGAGTATAATAAAATATACTGTTCCATCACCATTTGAAGTATGACACCCATAAGCCAAGCAATAATATTAACAAGTTACTTTTTTTATTAGGATGTATGCAGGGCATAAAAGAAATGAGATTTCTCCAATTTAAATTTGATATCAAGAAAAGTTCAAAAAACCCATCTTCAACATTTCTTTAGACTCTGAAACATATGTTTAACCAAAATGATTACATTTCAACATGTATCCCAAGGAAAGGAACAAAGAAGTTGTTGTATAAGATGAACTGCAAGATTTCTGCAAATTGTAGCACAGTTCCAGGTAGCAGAGATTTCATATGTATTATACCTTTGTATTGAAATAAATTTTAAATTGTCTACAACAGTTAGACATTAGCTATTATTGAGAATAAGATACGGACTAGAGCAAGTGCAGTACAACTAGTACAAACTCAACCCAGTAACACTCCTAACACAACAGTAATTCTAATATTGTATCACTTCCCCTCGAGTTAAAACTCACTACTCTGTTTATTAGGTATAAACACATATAACTCAACAAAAGAAACGTTGGATATGGCTCATACTTTGTATTCAGAAGACGACCCTTGTTGGCAGGACGCAGAGAAAACCAACAAGGTCCCGCTCCCCAGTGAGTGGAGCGGAGGCCTGGTTTTTATTTCTCTTTTTAGTAGTTTAGATTTGACTCATGAATAACTATTGTTGCTTAAGGTTTTCTAAGCTTATTTATATTCTCCTTGTAAGCTGAGTAACATGTAAACTGTGTGGTGAGTAGAATATAATGAACATTCCTGGACATAGCTCACTGGGTGAACCAGGGTAAATACTGTGTCTCTATTTTCTACCCTTTCTATCTTTTACTTTGCGACTGGGATACACCACCCCAAAAGCTAGCTCAAAGGGTGGGAGCGCCCAAGGCCTTATAAACTCCACATTAGTTGCTCATACAACCAATGTGGAACTATATATCTCAACACGCCCTCTCACACAAGAGCCCATTGGGCTTGAAGAGTGGATGATGCAACAGGCCCAGCCTACCTGTGCTAAGAAACTCCACATGAGAAAGTGGGGGGCAGCGAGATTTAAACCCGGGACACGAGGCTCTGATACCATGTAAAGAACCTTGGGATACACCACCCCAAAACCTAGCTCAAAAGGTGAGAGCGCCCAAAGCCTTATAAACTCCACATTAGTTGCTCATACAACCAATGTGGGACTATATATCTCAACAGACTCCAACCCCATAACCCACAATTGAAGTCATACAATGTTAACAACTAATTCAAATGAAAAAATAAAATAAAACACCACACACCCAATAAAAATGACTTGCCTACTTCACATTACCATTTTTTTGAAGAAAGGCTTGTGGCTGAAACAGCTTCAACTTGGCAACCCTTGAGCTGAATGGTTGTGTGCAAGCCATCAGGCTCAGTGAGAACAAGTGTCTGGCCCATGATTTTCCCATACTTCCTAACAGGTGAAACCTCAAAGAGCTCCTTTTTCCTTTTATGCTCCCTTGATGATTTCTCCAGCCACAATTTTGAAACCTTGTCAGGCTCTAGAACCCAAACCACACCCTGAAGAAGAAAAAACACACAAAAAAGTCTTACCCAATGCCATGAACAGTTTGAAAACACAAAATACATAATAAAATAATAAAAAAAAATAGATAGAGATAATTTGTGGAAACACAAAGTTACCTCCTTTTTGAGTGAATGGTGAGAATCAAATTGAGCAGAACTACCCAGTTGGGTTTTGGATGAGATTTTTGCTTGGTCTCTATTGCTCCTGCTACGCAGTCGTTTCAGGATCCACATGAATCCGAATGCTTCGGCAGCAACAACAGCAACCACCCCAAGAAGAAACCCGAAGAGAATCAAGATGAAAACCAGAACCATTTTACAACCCAGTTATTCGAAATTGAATTCGAATCTGAAATGGGAGCAATGAGAGAAACCCCAGATGAAGAAGAACGAAACCGAAAGATGGAAGGTTCTGAAGGAATCAGATGCTAACACACACACACAGAGAGAGTGTCAATCACTTTGTTCTTTTTATCTTTCTTTGTTTGATTCTTTCCTCGACCAATGTTGGATTCATTCGGGAAAATTCGTAAAATGGAATTTGAGAATTGAAGTGTGCATGAAAAACGAGTAGAACCAACAAAGTACACCTAATGACGTGAAAACGAGGACATGGTTTTATTGGGCATCAAATGTTCGAATATTTTATCATTGATTGAAGTATATAAACTGATTTTTTTAGCGGTGGTTTAAAATCTTAATTTGCGATTCATATCAAATTGAATTAATTGCGAAACATTAAATTAATTAAAATATCTTTAAAAAAGATACATAAAAGTATATAATATGTTAAATATAAGAGGTTGGGTTGTAATTATTATTCCGTTAATTTACTACAATCTTTGTCGTATAAGTATAAGCTAAAAAAATGAAAAGGACAGGTTGACTTATCAATTAAATTATTATTATTATTATTATTCTTAACAGAAAAGTTTCCTAAAGCAAGTTAGATCATAAGTTTTCAAACCTTTGACTTCTACATCCTAATTGACCTACTCAATCAATCTCCTCCCGAAAAAAGTATTTCAATTATATTAAGTGCATAGTTGATGCTCATGTACTTTGTTTTTTATATATATATAGTAAGTACTTTATTTTTTCTAATTATGTTAGTTAATATGACATTATTTGATAATGAAAATTCTAGTCCTTAAGGTTGATATATATATATATATATATATATATATATATATATATGTATGTATATATAGAGGTAGGATCCTTTGACACCAGTGTCAAATTTAAAATTTGACACTTCACTTGATAGCCGTTAGATCAAAAAAGATCAACGACTCTGATTCGTAAGCATGTGACATCATTGATCTTTTTTGATCTAACGACTATCAGATGAGGTGTCAAATGATCCTACCTCATATATATATATATATATATATATATATATATATATATATGATATGATTAACGTACAAAATAAATCTTATATCAAATTTTAACCGTTGATTTCCGTATATATGGGGAGGGTTTTTGACTTCAGAATAAAACTTTTAGGTCTTTCTCCCCATCTCAGCTGTTGATAGATGGAAATTAACGGTTGTCATTTATAGTGTAATTAATAAATAATTAATTATTATAACTACCTAAACTATAACCGTTGGATGGACGGAAATCAACGGTTAAGATGGGAGGTAAGACTTATAAGTCTTACTCTTGAGTCAAATGATCTCTCCCATATATATATATATATATATATATATATATATATGTGTGTGTGTGTTAAATAACGAGAGAGAAGAGAGGAACATTTGAAATAATATTGTGTGTATTGACTGATGAAGGTTGTACAATATATAAACAGACTAATGGGCTAAGCCCAAACCTAATGTAATCTGACCTAATACAAAATAAGGAAACCCTAATTACAAATTAAGGAAACCTTAATTACAATATATTTCTAACACTCCCCCTCAAGCTGGAGCGTATAGGTCATATGCACCAAGCTTGTTACATATAAACTCTATTCGAGGGCCCCTCAAAGATTTGTAAACACATCTGCTAATTGCTCATTAGAGGGTACAAAGCTAGTTTTAATTTCACCAGCAAGAACCTTTTCTCGAACAAAGTGGCAATCTATTTCTATATGCTTGGTTCTTTCATGAAACACTGGATTTGATGAAATGTGTAGAGCTGCTTGATTATCACAAATGAGAGTTGTATGTCCAGTGTCTCCAAACTTAAGTTCTCTGAGAAGCTGTTTAAGCCAGATGAGCTCGCAAGTAGTAGTCGCCATGGAGCGGTATTCTGCTTCAGCACTTGATCTAGCAACTACGTTTTGTTTCTTACTTTTCTAAAAAATCAAGTTGCCTCCAACAAAGACACAATACCCAGAAGTAGATCTCCGATCAGTTGGACAACCAGCCCAATCAGCATCACAGTACCCAACCACTTTATCATGACCTTTATCTTCATATTCAAGGCCTTTCCCTGGAGATGCCTTGATATACTTAAGAATACGAATGACTGCATTCCAATGTTCTTGACATGGAGAATTGAGAAATTGACTGACAACACTAACTGAAAAGGAGATATCAGGCCGAGTAACTGAGGTAGTTCAATTTTCCAACCAATCTTCTATACTGCTCAGGATCTGAAAAGGGCTCCCCCTGATTTGGTAGAAGCTTGATACTTGGATCCATAGGAGTATCAACAGACTTTGAATTTAACAGAGCAGTTTCTTCAAGAATATCCAGAGCATATTTCCTCTGAGATATCACAACACCAGCTTTAGATGGGGCCACCTCGATTCCTAAGAAGTATCGAAGTTTCCCAAGATCCTTAGTCTGAAAATGATGACATAAGTGTTGTTTCAATCGAGTGATCCCATGTTAATCACTGCCTGTGATGACAATATCATCCACATATACCACCGGATAAATAGATCCAGAAGCAGAATGACGATAAAAGAGAGAATGATCAGCTGCACTCCGTGTCATGCCAAATTGTTGAACAACACTGCTAAATTTACCAAACCAAGCTCTTGGAGATTGTTTGAGGCCATAGAGAGACTTACGAAGACGACAAACAAGACCTGACTCCCCCTGAGCAACAAATCCAGGAGGTTGCTCCATATAAATTTCTTCCTCTAGATCACCATGAAGAAAAGCATTCTTAATATCCAGTTGGTAGAGAGGCCAATGGCTAATAGCAGCCATGGCAATAAAAAGGCGAACAATAGACATTTTCGCCACAGGAGAAAAAGTATCAATAAAATCCAAGCCAAAGACCTGAGTGAAACCCTTCGCCACCAAGCGAGCTTTAAGACGATCCACTTGACCATCAGGTCCAACCTTAACAGCATAAATCCATCTGCAACCAACCACAGATTTTCCAGAAGGAAGAGGCACCAGGTCCCATGTGCCATTATGATGAAGAGCACTTATTTCATCAATCATAGCTTGTCTCCATCCCGAATGTGAAAGTGCATCACCTGTGGTCTTAGGAATAGATACAGAGGACAAAGAGGAAAGACAAGCAAAATATGATGGAGAAAGACGATGATAACTAACATTGACTGTATACCTGGCCGGAGAGCGAGTATCACGAGTACCCTTACGAAGAGCAATGGGAAGGTCACTATCCGAAGGTGGGACCGAAGCCGTGGGAGGAGATGCAGTTGAATGTGAATCCACAGATACATCTGACGAACTGTGCTCGATCTCATCAGCAGAAGAGGTGATAGAAGGAGAGTCAGAAACATGGACGGGTAAAGACGGAAGGTAAAGAAGGTCACCTGGGAAGGACAACTGTACAAAATTAGTATCCACAGGAGTAGTAGAGGATCCAAAAAAGGGAACTGATTCAAAAAAGGAGACATCCGATGAGATAAAGTATCGACGTAAAGTGGGAGAGTAGCAACGGTAACCCTTCTGAGACCGAGGATAACCCAGAAAAACACATTTATGAGACTTGGGAGCTAATTTATCCAAACCTGGACCAAGATGATGAACAAAACACGTAGAACCAAACACATGTGGAGTTAAAGGATATAAAGCTGGATGGGGAAATAAAATAGAGTGAGGTACCTTATGATTGAGAACAGATGATGGCATGCGATTAATGAGATAGCATGCAGTAAGTATAGCATCACCCCAGAATGTGTATGGAACATTACCATCAATTAACAAGGCACGAGTGATTTCAACCAGATGGCGATTCTTGCGCTCGGCTACACCATTTTGTTGAGGTGTATGAAGGCAAGATATTTGATGAAGAATGCCATGAGATGAAAAGAATTGTTGAAATTGATGAGATAAGTACTCACATGCATTATCACTACGAAAAGTACGAATAGGAATACCAAATTGAGTTTTTATTTCATTATAAAATAATTGAAAAATAGAAAACAACTCAGACCGCTTTTTCATTAAAAATAACCAAGTACATCTGGAATAATCATCAATAAAAGTAACAAAGTACTTAAAACCCAAAGTAGAAGAATGACGACTTGGTCCCCAAACATCAGAGTGGACCACAGAAAAATGAGAAACAACTTGACGACTAAGACGACTCGGAAACGTACTACGAGTATGTTTCCCAAACTGACAAGACTCACAATTTAAAGTAGAAAGAGACGATAAATGGGGAACCATCTTCTGAAGCTTTGCAAGACTAGGATGGCCCAGACGAGCATGGATAGTAAGAGGAGAATCCACAGTGGAGCATGCTGAAGAAGAGGGAACTAGTTGATAGAGGCCCTGAGACTCACATCCTTTGGTAATCTCCTTCCCCGAACTCCGATCCTGAAAAATGACAGAGGTTTTAGTAAAAGAAACAACACAGACAATGGATTTGGTCAACCGACTAACAGAAAGTAAGTTAAAAGGAGAATAGGGAACATATAGAACATGATCCAGAGATAAATTAGGTAAAAGAAGAACCGTGCCAATCCCCCTTGTTTGGACCAGAGACCCATTGGCCATAGTAATAATGGGAAAAGAACCAGAAGTACAAAGGGAAGTGAATAAGGACTTATTACCAGAAATGTGATCAGAAGCCCCAGAATCTAGAGTCCAAGGGCCAATAAAGTGCAATTGAGATATGCCAACAAAAGAATTACCAGAATTACCAGTGGGAGCAATGGATGCAGTAGGACCTGATGTTTGCTTCTCAGACCACCAAGTCACAAATTCGTTCAGAAGAGCAGTTGAAGGTTGTGCACTGGAAGGTAACTCTGGAGCAGAGGTACTAGAGAAAGCCTGAGCAACATGAGCATTCCGAGAAAGTGGAGGTGGCCTTCCATGAAGCTTCCAACAGCAGTCAGCAATATGATTGGTCTGATGACAATAAGTGCATAACAG